GTCTCCCTCTGGAAGCTTGCCAGGCCAGACTGCTACTGTTCAGTCAGGAACCAGTTTGGTGTGGGGAAATCCACAGCTGGGGCCATGCTCATGCAGATAGCCAAGGCCATCAGCCCTATGCAGCCTGGCTCTCCTCCAAGTGGGCAGTCAGCTCCTGGCTCTCTTCTTTGAGTCCCTGGACAAGGGATTGAAGGCAGGTCATCTGCTCCCTCATGAGATCCTCCCGGGTGCATTTAAGCCTGTGTATCGTGCTGAGTCGGGTAGATGGAATGGGAGGTGGAGAAAGCCCCAAGCTCACAGGGGCAGTCATCCCAGCAGACACTGTGTATGAAGCAGCACCTTAGTCTCTGAGCTGATGCCAAAGGTCTCAATTCAGATGATAGCTTCAAGCAAGGCAATCTGGTGCCTAAAAATGAGTACTTTCCAGCAAGTGCACAGACATCCCAGGGGAGTATCACAACAACTATGGCCTGGCAACAAGTGGGCATGGAAAGGTCCAGGCCAGATCAGGAATCTGTGGGTGGGACAGGGGGATGGGACAGCTCAGCTTCTTTCTGTGTTCCCCATACACCAGGGCTGTGTCTACATTGGCACCCCTTTCCAGAAAAGGGATGCTAATGTAGACTTTGGAATAGGCAAATCCACGGGGGATTTAAATATCCCCCGTGGCATTTGCATTAATTTTTTCTGGCTTGGGGAAAAGCCGGAGAAAAGCGCCAGTGTAGACATTATTCTCTGGAAAATAAAGCCTTTTCAGTCTTGTCAGCAAGAGAGCAAGAGTCAGGCTAAGTTTGTGGCCTGACAACGGTTGAGCTGTAAAAAGGCGCTGCCTTCGCCTCTCGCCTCCATACGGAGATAAGGATAGAATGCTGACTCTGGCAAGGACCTTGAGATAAGGAGCATCTGGGTGGAACTAAAATAACTGTTAGCCATTGGTGTTTGTAATGAGACAGAGACTAATTGTTTAATGTTATTATATCTAATGGACTGTATATAAACTGCTTCATAATTGCTTGTATTCGACGATCTGCCTAGCAGCAGCTTCTTCCCTTGCAATATTGCTCGAATAAACTGTCTTTGACTACTTGTTGCTCACAAATGCAGAGTGAAGGCTTGTTTTCTTCCACAATTTGGTGCCGTGACTCGGATGGCAATGCCCGTTTGAAGACAGCAGCTGCGGACCATCTCCCTTCACCCCCAGGGCGCCAAACAAGAGGTAAGAGACCTTTTGAAATCTCTACTGGGGTGTGGAGAAGGACTGCCCGTGGGGTCGTCTGCTTCTCTCTGAGCCCCTCCTCCACCTTTAACCTTCTAGTTTGAGGGGCTGGAGTCTGTGGTCAGGCCCCAGAAGTTCTGCAGCCCCGCCCCCAGCTGTTTTCAAAGCAGGACCACTTGCCGGGCCTGGAGCTGGGCCGCCCACAGTGCTAATGTTAGTGTTGCATTGCAGTCTCTGAACCAGCTTTGGCTCCCATTACCAGGAGTGGGCGGGGGGGGGGGGGGCCCACTCCCATATCTGGCTTTCAGAGTGCAGGTCAGCGAGAGGGTCAGTGCACTGCCACTCCCCCAGTGAGGTGGGAAGAAGCGGGGGGAGAGAGGGACATGCGCAGAGTGCACCGGCAGAAACCAAACATACCCTGCTCTGAAGCATTCCAGCCGAGCTCTGTGTAATCTCTGCCAGGACTCTGGTGGTAGCTACCAGGAGTGGCTCACTGGCTCCAACCAGAGCCCCTCCCCCTCTGCCAGTGCTGGTGGCTGCCTGTGGATGGAGG